CGCCGAGTGAAGTAATCTGAGCCTCGCAGCAGGAAGCCTCCCCTGGACACTCTGGTCTGGCCTTGTGGTTGGGAGGGCCGGCCCCCACAGGCGGGGGCAGCTCCCTGGCCCTGGTTCTGGACTCCCAGCTTCCCTGACCCTGACTCAGCTTGCCTCTGTGTCCCAGTGACGGAGCTTGTTCTAGGCCCGCTGTGAGCCCCCCCTCCCCGCCTTCCTGTCTCCCCCATCTCTGGGCGCCTCTGCCTGCTTCCCTGTCTCCTGTGGCTCCCCACCCCCGCCAGTCCTCCTCATTTGCTTTCTCTGTCTACCTGCCTTTAGTGTGGGCTCTGCTTCCTTTAACTGTCTCTTCTTTAATCTCCTTCCCACCCCTCCCGCTCTGTCAGGCTCATGTTACCTGAGGGTTGAGGGGGGCAGGCAGGGGGCTCTGTAGGCCAGAGGACAGGTAAGCCCTTACCTCCCTCTACCAGGAGTGAAAAGCAGGAGTAAAGCACTTTCAGAAGATCCTAGCCCTGAAGGACGGGCGTGCAGACTTCCACTCTGGGCTAGAAGGGCATGCACGGGCCCTTTGAGCCTTTTACTCCTGGACATGGCATGTGAAGTAGCCGATGTGTCAGGTGTCCTGGCCTGGAAGCTTGGCTCTGAGAGACTAGGCACTGTTGTTCTGGCGTGGCCCTGTCCTCAGATGAAGCCTGGCCGGGCAGCCTGGGCGGTGACGCGGTAGCTGCTGGGCAAGACCCTCCTGCTCCTAGGTCCTCTCCCCTGGGGCCCAGGCTCCGCGGGGCAGTGTGGGAGCCAGGCACACCCAGCCCCTGTCTGCATCTGTGGCTTCTCCCTTCTAGAGGATCCAAAGGGAAAGACATCAGCACCATCAAGTCCCTGAGAGTCCTGCGTGTCCTGCGGCCCCTGAAGACCATCAAGCGGCTGCCCAAGCTCAAGGTTGGAGCCCGGAGTCAGGCTCGAGGGCGGGTGTGCACGTGTGTGCATGAGAGTGCCGTGTGTGTGTGTGCACACGACGTCACAAACCCCACGGTTGTGTGAGGGGACACTCGCCTAAGAGGCATCTCTTCCGGGTAGCCCCCTTGAGACTTCCCAGCCCACGCACCATTCAGGACGGTGGTTTCTGTCAGCAGGGGCAGCTGAGGGAGGAAGGGCTGCCGAGCGGGACAGGGTCATGGAGTGGGGGTTCCAAGAAGGAGCTGCTGACAGGCCCGGGAGAGGGTGCTCCTGAGCTCCACGTGAAGGGAGCGTGACACCCTAACCCCGGGAGTGTGGCAATCACCAGCGACGGAGCTTGTTCTAGGCCCGCTGTGCAAGCCTCCGCTCCCCACTCTTCCTGCCCTCACCACCTCGTGCAGCAGCGCTGCCGGTAACAGGCTGGCATGGGCGTGGGGGCACCAGGCGACGCAGGAGCTGCAGGGCCGTTTGCTCAGACCCGTGTGCAGAGGGTAGACCGGAGGTGCGGGAGGCGTCGGCGAGGGGCCAGCCTGGCGCGATGGGGAAAGGTGCCGTGGAGTGGGTGTGGCTGCGTCTGCTGAGCGCCAGGTGTGGCTCGGGTGCTGGGGCCTGGCAGCACAGTTCTCTCCTCGGCCCTGGGTACCCAGGGAAGGCTGAGCTTCCAGTGGGGCGGTGTTGCAGACAGCACTGCCCACGCCCACGGTGTGCCCATTCCCTTCCCACCGATGGGCGGGGTGAAGCGCGACCCGCTGGTAGGCCCCACGTCCCTCCGGCACAGCTTGGCCTGGGCTCTGACCAGCCTTGTCCCCGCGGCCTTCCACCATCCACTCCTCCGAGGCCAAGAGGATGCCCTCCGGGGCAGGGGCAGTGCCAGTCAGCTTTCCATCTGGAGGCAGCCAGCTGTGGGGCCTTCCAGGGGCCCGAGGGCCTTGCAGGGTCCCCGAACACAAGGGCACCTTGGGGCCCCAGTGGTCCCAACGTTGTGAGCCTGTGTCCGCCCTGGCCGACTCCCGCACGGCCCCTTGTCCTGCAGGCCGTGTTTGACTGTGTTGTGAACTCCCTGAAGAACGTGCTCAACATCCTGATCGTCTACATGCTCTTCATGTTCATCTTTGCCGTCATCGCTGTGCAGCTGTTCAAGGGGAAGTTTTTCTACTGCACGGACGAGTCCAAGGAGCTGGAGAGGGACTGCAGGTAAAGCATGGCAGGCTGGATGGAGCATGCGGGCCCGTGGGCAGGGACCAGGACTGGTCATACGGCCCGGGAGACCCCACGCAAGGCAAAGCAAAGCAGTGGGGACATGTGAGGGCTGGGCGAGTGTGCGAGGTGTGCTGTGCACCATGGAGGAAGGGGGCCACCCTCCCTCAGCTGTGTTCTGAGGGACCACCCTCTTCCGGCCCAGCTTCCAGGGAATAGCAAGGGGCTAGAGCTGGAGCTGCCTGTTCAGAGTGGCCACCTCGCTGTCCACACAGCACCTGGGCTCTTCCTGGCCTGGCCCAAACCTCAAAGCAGACAGGAGGACCACCCTCCAGGGGAGCCGGGGAGACGGAGGAGGAGGGCAGTCGGCAGCTCCTGCCTGGCTGCACAGACTACCCGCACCCCCGGTTGTGGTCCAGTCTCTGAGATGTACCCCAGTGGACTGCTCGCCCTGCCAGCTGGGCGTGCCAGGCCATCAGGCAGTGGGCTCAGCGTGTGTTGGTGGTTAGCAGTATGTCATTCCTAAGGGACGAGCGGGGTCACTGTCACGGGCTGTGTGCGTTCACCTCCGAGCAGATGCTACCAGGACACGTGTGACACGACGGCTTGTTGCAGGGACGCCTCTTGCCGCCCAGCTGGCCCTGTCTTGCTGTTTGGCCTTCTGGCTGCCGTGGTGGTCAGTGGGGCTGAGGCCCTTTTTCTTCTTGTGTTGGCTGCTCAGATGTCCTCCAGCAATGTCTGTGCAGGTCTCCTGGGCTGGCTGTCTCTTCCGCGTTGGTAGGAATTCTTTAAGTCCTAGACAGAACTTCTTGGCCAGGTCTATGGATTGAAGAGGGACCGCTCCCCTCGCAGGGCGCCTTCTTCCCTTTACTGGTACCCTTGACTTTGATGTTGCCCAGCTTCTCTCTCGTGTTCTGTTTAGTGCTCTGGGTGTCCTATCTGAGAGGTCTATCCCTGGTCCAGGGAAGGTTACGTCTTCACCTTTCATATTAAGATCTGCAATCTCTCTGGAGCTGGTTTTTGGGTTTTGTTTGAGGTATCGGCAAAGGTACACTTTCTGAAGATGGTTATCTTGCTGACCCAGAGCACATTTCTGAAAAGGCCCTCCCCTCCCGCTGCAGTGTGCTGCTCTTGCAAACAGCGTTGCTGAGGTCTTTCCACATCGCACACTTTACTCATGTGACCCACGTGCGGTGTGCACCAGGCCGGCCTCTGTAGTGTGAGGGCAGCTTCCCCCACAGGGCCAGGGGTGCTGTTGCTGCCGCAGTTCCAGGTAGACCTGGAGAACATGCCAGGTGCCCAGGACCCCGAGAAGCTGGAGGGAGGGAGCATGCAGTGTAAGACCTTGTTTGGGGTGATTTCTCCCTCATTCTTTCTATCCTGTAAAGGAATAAGTACACAGAGTAGGTCTTAGTGTGTTCACAGACACTACTGCTGTCACCACTGTCAATCTTAGACCGTGTCATCACCCAAACAGCAGCAAACCTGTACCTTTCAGCTATCACACCCATGTCCCTCCTCCCAGCCCTGAGCAGCTCCGATCTGCCTTTCCTTGGTCCTCTTCTCTGGATGCTGTGCATATGTGGACTCGTGTGCACGCAGCCGTCTGTGACTGGCCCCTCTCATTCTGCAGGACATCTCGGGTTCAGTGAGCCACCTGTATCAGTGCCCCTCCCTTCAGGCGGGATCCCTGTCTGCATGCTGTGTCTCCTGCGCTCGCCTGTTTGCTGAAGGGCACTCGGGCTGCACGCTGTATTCCCTGCGCTCGCCTGTCTGCTGAAGGGCACTCAGGCTGCTTCTGCCGTTGAGCCCTTTCACTAATGCTGCTGAGAGGTGCTGTGTGCGTTTCTGTAGGGACCTGCATTTTTGTTCCTCCTGGGTGTATAGCTGAGAATTGAGTCATGTGGTTACTAGATATTCAGCTTTACATTCAGTTTTTCTTTAAAGAATTATTTATTTCATTTTGTTATTATTTTTAATTTAGAGTAGGGCATGTGTGCTCCTGAGAGAGAGACAGACAGAGAAAGCTACCTGGTCCAGGACTCAAACCGCAGTCAGCCACGTGGGAGTCTAGAATCTTAACCGCATGTCACCTGCTGGCCCCACATTCAGCTTTGTAGGGAGCACCAAGATGATCTTTAGAGGAGCTGCACTGAGTTACACCCCTTGGAAGTGGGCTCCTGGGTGAAATATAGGACCTCTGTGTCTTGCTAGTTGAGGAAATGCCAGGCTGTCTCCAGAATGGCTGCACCATTACCCACCGCGGTGCTCTCCCCTCTGCACATCTTTGCCACACGTGAGACTTTCGGTGCTTTTGTTTTTCCAAATCACAGCCATCCTGCCGGACAAGAGTGATACTGCGGTCTCAGTTTGCTTTTCCCTGGTGACCACTGATGTTGAGCGTATTTTCCCATGCATTTGTGTATCTTCTTTGGGGAAATGTCTGTTCAGGTTCTTTACTTATTTCTTAATTTATTTTTTATTATTGTCTGTAACAGTTCTTTATATATCCTATATACAAGTCCTTTGTCAGGTGATTAGCAAGTATTTTCTCCCATTCTGTGGGCTATCTTCTCACTCTCTTGATGGTGTCTTTGAAACAAAGATTAAATTTTAAAAAGTAATTATTTAATTTTATTTATTATTATTATTTTAAAATTTGCTATGGGGTATGTGTACTCACCAGAGAGAGAGTGAGTGAGTGAGAAAGCAAGCCAGGTCCAGGACTTGAACCACGGTCGGTCATGTCGGAGTCCCAACACCTCAACCACCATGTCATCTACTGGCCTTAAGATTAAATTTTTTTTTTGAGAGGTTTTTGCTATAGGGTGCGTGCACTTGCCAGACAGACAGAGAGAGACATAGAGACAGAAAGCGAGAAATCACCCCCCGGGGGGATGGTCATGCCACAATCCCTTCTCCTCCATTCTTCTCTCAGGATCTTGGGCACGCATGCACATGCGCCCGGCGTGAGTTCTAAGCCACCGGGTCCGGGACACGAACTGCAGTCCACTACGTGGGAATCCAGTGACATACCCATTATGCTAACTGCTGGTTCCCAAGATTAAATTTTGTAAGAAAGACAGAGACAGTGAGAGGGAAAGTGAGAAATCACCCCCCAGGGGGACGGCCACACTGCAGTCCCTTCTCCTCCATTCTCCTCTTGAGATCTTGGGCATGCACACACATGCACCCGGTGTGAGTTTCAAGCCACCGGGTCCGGGACTTGGAACCATGATTGGCTACGTGAGAACCCAGTGACATAACCACTACACCATCTCCTGGCCCTTAAGATTAATTTTTTTTTTGAGAGCTTTTCGCCAGACAGACAGAAAGAGACAGACAGACAGAAAGCAAGAAATCACCCCCCCAGGGGGGATGGCCATGCCACAATCCCTTCTCCTCCATTCTCCTCTCGGGATCTTGGGCACGCATGCACACGCGCCCGGCGTGAGTTCTAAGACACTGGATCTGGGACTCGAACCACAGTCGACTACATGGGAGTCCAGTGACATAGCCATTACGCTAACTGCTGGTCCCAAGATTTAATTTTGATACAGCTCAGTTTATCTATTTTTTTCTTTTTTGTTCATGATTTTGATGTCATATGTAGGAATCGATTCCCAAATATGAGGTTATGAAGACTTGCTCTTGTTTTCTTCAGAGGGTTTTATTTTTTTCAGCTCTTACATTTAAGTCTTGAATCCATTTTCCGCTAGCTTTTTATGTGGAGTGTTGTGTTCCACATGTGGACATCTGGTTGTTCCAGCACCTCCTGCTGAAACTTTCTCTCCCCACGCGATGTTTTTGGTGCCCTTTCGGATGCCAGTAACCATAGACAGGGAGGTCTGCTTGGGCCCCTCGTCTTCCTCATGTAACCTCTCCATGTTCCGATTCTCAGGGGTCAGTATTTGGATTATGAGAAAGAGGAAGTGGAGGCTCAGCCACGGCAGTGGAAGAAATACGACTTTCATTACGACAATGTGCTCTGGGCCTTGCTGACGCTGTTCACGGTGTCCACAGGCGAGGGGTGGCCCATGTGAGTGCCCACGCGGTTCACCATGGCTGGTTTGTGCAGAGCAGTGTGGTGAGGGCAGAGGGCAGCTGAGGGCAGCCTGCCTCCCGTTATCCTGTGCTCAGCTGTGGCTAGCCCTGAGCCCCGCCCTGTGCACAGGCCTAGCGTTCACTGAGCTGTTTCCTCTGCGGGTCCTCCTGAAGTCTGACATCTGTGCCCTCTCGGCCAGGGTGCTGAAACACTCTGTGGATGCCACCTATGAGGAGCAGGGGCCGAGCCCCGGGTACCGAATGGAGCTCTCCATCTTCTACGTGGTCTACTTCGTGGTCTTCCCCTTCTTCTTTGTCAACATCTTTGTGGCCTTGATCATCATCACCTTCCAGGAGCAGGGGGACAAGGTGATGTCTGAGTGCAGCCTGGAGAAGAACGAGGTAGGTGGGCACCTGCACCCCTGTGACGGGAGTGTGGGTGGGACCACCAAGCTTTCCTGCCTCTACCCAGACCCCTCGCCTCTGGGGCAGCTTTGGCGGCTACTGTCTGCCATGCAGGGCAGGCCTTCTGCCCTTGACACAAGCAAACCGAGAAAGACCCCTGCTAGGAGAGGCTGAACTGCCCTGGCTGGCCCTTTGTCAGAGCTCCCAGTGAGGGCCGGGACAGGTGCGCGGTGCCACGGCCGCTGCAGGGTGCCTTCCCTCTCCGAGCTCTCTGTGTGCCCCTCCCCCACAGAGGGCTTGCATTGACTTCGCCATCAGCGCCAAGCCCCTGACACGGTACATGCCGCAGAACAAGCAGTCTTTCCAGTATAAGACGTGGACGTTCGTGGTCTCCCCGCCCTTCGAGTACTTCATAATGGCCATGATAGCCCTCAACACAGCAGTGCTGATGATGAAGGTGCGTGAGGCGCTGCGTGGCAGGACCTGGGGCCTGTGGGGTGGGGCCCGCTTCTCCTGCTGGCACGTGCCAGGGCCGCAGGCGCCCTCTGTGCTGGCCGGCAGAGCTCCCTCCCCTCTGCTGCCTGTGCTGGGTCGGGAGATGCCCTGTGTGTGCACAGGAGACCGAAGGGCGTTGCAGGCCTGGCCAGTGTGGATTCTGTCCACCTCTGTGTGAAAGGGGTCATCGTGGCCCCAGGGCTTTGGGGCTGCCTAGCCTCTGGTCAACACTTTCCTTCCCTGGGCAGTTCTACGATGCACCCTACGAGTACGAGCTGATGCTGAAGGGCCTGAACGTCGTGTTCACCTCCATGTTCTCCATGGAGTGCGTGCTGAAGATCATTGCCTTCGGGGTGCTGGTGCGTGTCTCAGTCCCTCTGCCGTGGAGGCCTGCACTCGGGCTCTCCTCCCCTTCAGGGGCCCACAGTTTGGAACGGGGAATTGTCCGAGCCCCCTGGACACACACGACATTGCAGGGGCCCAGGGAAAGGGGCTGCTCCCTCTCAGCTACCTGAGCTCTGCCTGCCCAGACCTGGAGGCTTGGCTCTCAGTCCCACTCTTCCCAGAGCCATGGGTGTCCACGTGCCTGGCTGGAGTGGATGGGCTGGCCACGGGCATCCAGCCAGTGGCCCATCTGTCCGGGGCTAGGAGTACGTCCCCTCACTGTCTCGGGTGAGGGCCACCTCCTCCCAGTGACCTCACCGGCGACCACTGCACACCCTTCCTCTTCTCTAGAACTACTTCAGAGATGCCTGGAATGTCTTTGACTTCGTCACCGTGCTGGGGAGTATTACTGACATTTTAGTAACAGAGATTGCGGTGAGTAGCACTCCTGTTCCCAAGTAGGGCCCCATGGTGTGCCCTCCTCCAGGGATTCCCCTTGGCATGTCTCCTAGGCTCCCCAGGAGAAGATGGAGGCTTCTCTCCAGATGTGGAGTTTGAGGAGTGGGCATTGTCTTCTAGGCTAGTTGCCTGAGAACCACTTGGAGTTCCGTGGCAATAACTGGCTGAGACCACACAGGATGTGTGTACATGCTGGAGAGAGACAGAGAGAGGGTAGCTGAGTACTCTTGCCCCAGGGGTGCAGTCCCTTCTCCTCGGACTCGGGGCGTGTACACACACTCCTGGCTGACTTTCAAGCTGCCCGTTCCAGGGCTCAGTCCTTGGTTGGCCATGTGGGAGCCCCGTGCCTCAACCATCATGCTACCTTCTGGCCCCACAGAAGGCCATATTTTATGTGTCGAGTATGTAAAAACTTGGTATCAAAAATGTTCAGGGAAACCAGGAAGACCTTACTTAAACTAGGAGCTTGCTATACACACGTGCATGCTCGCTACCCAGCTAACTGCACAACTGGAGACGCTCATTCCATCACACACGTGCAGATTACATCAGAAGACTGACCTGTGCCGGGACATGAACTCATCTCGACAAATGTCCAAGACTCGGGTGGTGGAGCATGTTCTGGGTGGCTTGGAAACAAGACAGAGACGTGTTTGGTCTCCGGTTACCCTCTGGGGCAGACACTGAAGGGTTTACGTAAGAGTTATTTCTCAGGAAGCGTTCCGTGGGAAAACCAGCGAGTGGTATGGGGCGTGGTGGGGAGAGGAGGACCCGAGTGCTGCAGCTCGAGCCACCTCTGGCCTCCTGGCGCTGCTCTGGCTGAGGCTGGGGGGTACCCAGACCCTAACCCTAACCCTAACCTTCTTGCCATTCCATTGTCTGGCCCTGGCTGCTGTAAGGATCCCTCCACACTGAGTATCCGTCATAGGAACATCTAGAAAAGCCTCCACGAAACTCTTGAGTCCAGGCAGACTTTTCCCTGCCTCAGCAATATCTGGACAGGTGTCCTGGCCAGCCAGGGAGCTCTCCGCTCTGCTGGCTACCTCGGGCCGAGAGCCCAGGTACTGGGTGGCTTCCCTTTGAGCCAGGACTCCTGCACTCACAGCCTCAAGCTGTGGGGAGATGAGCAGAGTCCACGACGGCTCTGGAGCAATGGCGAGAGGTGCTATTCCTGCCTCCGCCATCTCCTGGCCGCCGTTTTCTTTGGGCCCCAGGACTATGTGGCCACTGATGTCTCTCAGGCACAGCGTCTGACGAGTGCCACGCCCCACCACGCTGGTACCACCCAGAGGCTGTGGCTGGACCAGTCTCACTGAGCAGGCCCTGCCCTCACGGCCACTCCTTTGTGGGCTCACGGCCGCACGTTGCCACTGCTGAGTACGGGCCGCCGACCTCTGTGGCCCACTTGTTCCAAACTTGGTTTCTAGGACCTGCGCCCCTCCCTTCCCAAGGCCCACCCGTAGGCCCCGCTCCCAAACCTGGCTCCCTTCAGACCCTCGCGGACCTTTGCCCGTCTCAGGGCCATAACCTCTGCACAGGTGCCGCGCCTCTGCACACGCCCGCCTCACCGCC